GTGGGTGTGCAGGCGGGAGACAGAGAGAGAGAGAAAGAGAGAGAGAGGTGAGGAAAGAGAGAGAGAGAGAGAGAGAGAGAGAGAGAGAGAGAGAGCTAAAAAGGATTTTGATATTTTCGGCTGTTATTATACTGCTGTTTTAATCATTTGGTGGAGTTCCACTGGATCATGGTGGCGAGAACCATGATCAGTTATTATTAGTATGGTGGAAATGCGATTTATAAGGCAGGAGGAGGGCTTCTGTAAAAGATATATTTTTATCTCAGAAAAAACAATACGCAGAATAACTGAACCCTGTTTTGAATACTGCTCGCTTGGAAGAAGCGGTATCTGGTGTTGGGACAACTACTTCCGTACTCCCAGCCTCTTTCCAGGCTTTAACTATCCAGCCTCCATGTCATGTTCTGATCCCTGTATGTCCGTCTCCTGCAGCACTGCATCGCATTAATGTTCTGTTTCACATTTTTCACAAAGATTTAAGTGGACACTCTCTGGGGTGGGTGGGTCTGTTTCCAATTTTCTCCCCTTCCCCGTCTTAAGGGACAACATTTGCAAAACTAAACAAATACAACTGATGCACAAAATATTTTCTTTTTGGAGTGCAATGTTTCCCCTTCTTTTCAAACACACAAAGATGAGTTTTCAAAAGCATATTTTCACTGATAAAAAGTTCTCAAACTTTCTCACATCAGTTAAAAAAAAACACAAACAGAACCTCTACTGATCAGATTAAAGAGTATAAAAAATTGGCATTGGCAGTATACTGGCCACCGATTCCTACTCTCTATTACAATCATATTTATTTTAAAAAATATACATTGTGTAATATTTCTTACCAGCTTTGAGGTTCCTCCAGTCAAGTTAATCAGTGGCAGCAGTCTGAGAGGCTGTGTGAGAATGCAGATCCCGCTCTGACAGGGGAGTGGTGCTGAAGCGCACTGACTCAACCGCTTGACACAACTGGCTCTCCGATGTCTCGCGCTCGCCTTGGTGTGAGCGCAACCAGCTCGTCTCTCTTCTTTCACCCTCCTCTCGTCTAATCACTCCCTTCAGCTCACTTTTTTTTTTTTTTGTTGTTGTTTTCACAGACGACGCAGTTGCTCTGACGTATCAACCTCCCGTAACTTGTTAGTGCCGCCCCTGCGCCAGCAGCCGCACAGAGGTCGTGTGTTTCTCGGAGCGCGCGCGTGCGCGAGTGCGCGTCCGCGCGCGTTTTTGTGTGTGTGTGTGTGTGTGTGTGTGTGTGTGTGTGTGTGTGTGTGTGTGTGTTGCGCAGCATAACAGATTTGAGTTTGTGTCTGACACACAATAGCAGGAAGTCTTCATTTAGTACTCACAAAGCACAGAGGATGGAACTAGAACAGCGCTGAGCATTACCTGAGTTTTCACACTCGTATCCCCCCCCCAAAAAATGAAAATCATTCAGTAGAATGTGTTGAACAGAACATGATGATAACCAAGAACCAAAAATCCAATCGCAATTTACTTTTTACATACAATGAGACAATGGACATGTATCATGACAAGATGTGTCAGAAAAGTTTCAGGACTAACGTCCCAAAAGATATCTTTTAATTCCAAACTACAATTTTTAACCTTTGAGGTTAATGCAAATGGGATCTAACGCACCTTCCAAGCCTCTGCCTTGCCTTCATGAACTCCTGGAAGGTTTCTGCCCAGGGTCTCTGCTGCACCATCTTCACAGCCATCTTGACGTGGTCCAGGTCTTCAAAAAGGCAAAAAAAAAAAAAAAAAATCACATTTTTTGGTTGTTCCAGGCTGGCGGTATTCTTCTCGGCCAGGAACCGTCAGATGCTCAGAGTATTATGTGCAGGAGCATTGTCATCTTGAAGTAGCTACAAATCGTCCTGCCATAATTTCCGCCTCTTCTCGTGCACTGAATGAACCAAACACTGATCTTGTGAGGCTGTCGATGTGCTGCTTGATTGTCGGGCCCTCAACGAAGGGGAAAACTGAAGCTTGTCGTTTGCGTGACACCAGCCCCTTCCCCCCCCACTTACTAAGCCATCATATTCACCTAATTTTAGCATGCATTTAATGCAATATTTTCACTCTTCTGTTCGGCTGCAGATTACTCAGGGTGGAGATGCCTGTTCTGAGTGGAGAAATTTTACAAGAACAACGTCATAAAGTCAGCTGTTAGCATCGTGCGTTCAACGTGATTAGTTGCACAAGGCCACTTATTTATTCCTGACAATTGCATTTCAGAGAAATGAACAAGGGAGAAAAACACAATGCTGGGGATTTAGCCGTCCCGATCCTATTATTTTTATTATCAATCTTAATTTAATTGTATTGTCATGTCTGAAAACGTACAAAGCATTTTGTTTTCATTTGACCCAAACTATCATATGAAATATTGCCTTTGTCGCGCATTTTTTTGCAACACATTCATGGCTAAAATTGGAAATTATGATGACAGTTGGAAAGGTTATCTGCACTCTCTCATGGTTTCTGTTGGACATGTTTAAGAAGAAAGAGGGTTTATGTGTTAGAATATTATTATTATTAAGTCGTGTTTTCATGGGGTCACGTAAAAACAGACACGCACGCACGCGCACACGTTTGCAATCGAGCTGAATGCGCAACAATAGCAGAAGACAATTTCATGCTGATAATGCCGTTAGCCTCCGTTATTTTTGTCGAACCTGAAACACCAAATCAAACTGACAAACTGTCACCAGTGGCACCACGTCTCTCATTTGCTCTCTCCGATGGCTTGCCGCCGTACGGGACAACAACAAAACAGTGAGGCTTGTTTGCTTTCACAACAGCAAAGTATCTTTCGGTACTGCACAGAGTTGTTCGGTTTCCAAATTTAGAATGTCGCAGGTGACACAATATTTGTCCGCTTGCTATATTCTCCCCTGCATGCTATTGTCATTTGTAGATGTATATTTGTTTTGCTGGCCGACAACACGTGATACAGGCTCGACGCCGACATGTGCTGGCTAACGTAAGCCCTGCATGGCCCTGGTATCACATTACACCACACACAAGGTCAGTTTGACTTGATTGTCTCAACAGGATGGAAAACAATGACCGCTTCAAGCTTTGGTAAGCTAAATGCACCTCGTTATGTTGTTTTGTTTTCTTTTTTTTTCTTGAAGATGTTATGAATTCGTTTGACCTCAGCGTGGACAACACGGCCTTAAAATAAAATCTCACATTTGTTTCCATAAATAGCTGATTCCCGATTTTCATGAAAATCAATTAAAAATAATCGTGCTTCTTCTTGTGTTGTTTTTTTTTTTTTTAATTAAAATGTATGTAAACCCGATCCTGAATCAAAATTTCATCACTTAATAAGTGACAAAGAGTAACGTCAGACCCGACTTGCTTTCATGCTCTTTTCTTCTGTAAAGTTGCACGGGTGAGGCAAAGTGTCCTCGTCAAAATTATTGGCAAGGTGGCATTGCTCAGCACGAGACTGCCTTCAGTGGAAAATTCCCTGTGTGGAAAATTATTTTGCTCATGACGTTTGTTTCTTAGGGGGAACTAAAAATGCTCTTTGCTTTTTGAGAAATAGTTGCTCGAGGGGTCAGAAAAGACGCTAAACGTAGCGATGCTAATTTTGTATACAGTACAAGTTTCTTTTCGCAGATATGGTGCTGGTGTAAAAAATGCACATAATCGGGGAAGACGAATCGAATCGTCGCCCACCCGTCGCTTGCCCTTTAAACTGTACCGCAATTAAGAGGAAATTTGATTTTAAAACAAAAAAAATTAAACTGTCTCATATTTGCCGGTTGAATCACGTTTTTTGAGAAATAGTTGCTCGAGGGGTCAGAAAAGACACTAAATGTAGCGAAACTAATTTTGTATACTAGTTTCTTTTCGCAGATATGGTGCTGGTGTAAGTAGTGCATATAAGCTGGGAAGACAGAAATCACCAAAAAAAACCTTTTGTCATTGAATGAATCGAATCATCCCCCACCCGTCGCTTGCCCTTTAAATTGTTCCGCATGGAAATTAAGAGGAAAATTGATTAAAAAAAAAAAAAAAAATTAAACTGTCTCAAATTTGCCGGTTGAATCACGTAGCATAATTGCTCTGTTAGTCAACGAAACACGAATTCCCACGTGGCCTATAGCACGGGTTTTTCATCCGACACGGTCAGTGGCACATCAGCCATGTTAGTAGTTGAATTAACCTGTCGACCTCTTTCCGAGGGCGCGGTATGTGTCTCCGCTCTGTTGCAGAGAAACGTGGCTGAGCAGGTCAGCAGGGAGCATGACCTCAGCTGCTGTGTGGTCTGCCCCTCCGCTAGATGCCCTGGATCAGCCTTGTGGCTCAAATGTAATTTCATCCTTTGGGAAAATACACTGACCAAAGGAAACTCATGTCTGGGGGTCATGGACCTTTGCATTCACGAAGCGGGAGAGGGATTTTATTGGTCTGAGTTCCTCCTTCTGAGGAGTACTGTGTTGGGGGAGGGTGGGGGGTGGGGCGTGCAAGACAGAGCAACCTGTTTATTTGATACATTATATTTAGTGGACATTGTGACCGTTATTTTTGGCCACCTCGACACAGTGAGAGCGTGTGTCTCCAGAAAAGAAGCAAATCCGCTTGATTTTTTCCAAACATCTAAAGCAGCCCCGCTTTGACACAACATTTGGAGCACCAGAGAGGACAAGAAGACAAAAACAGAGAAAGAAGTCAACCGTTGATAACAAGCAGCTTAGAAATCCTTGAAGAATACAATGGGATCTGCATCATCATCATCTGGAAACGTGCTAAGTGGAAAAATGGAGCTGAAAGGAGACCTTCAAGTTCACGAGGAGATAAAGTACAGGCTGCTAACTGGGAAATGACTTGAAAGAATGAGATAGCAGAATGTTCTGCCAGATATTGGTTTCCTCTGCTCTAACGAGTAATGAAGGCAGGGTCTCAGTGGAAGAACTATGCTGTAGATACGAGTCAGGTTCAAGTACACACACACACACACACACACACACACACACACACACACACACACACACACACCAACCGTATTTTCGACACTATAAGGCACTTTGGAGTATAAGGCACGCTTTCAATGAACGGCCTATTTTAAAACTGTTTTCATATATAGGGCGCACCACCATTATAAGGCGCTTTTCATATATAGGGCGCACCACATTATAAGGCGCAAAGAAGAGAAGCTGCAATAGTGGCTGCGGTTGTGTTATGCATCCACTAGATGGAGCTACGCTAAAGGGAATATAATACAATACAGCTTTATTGATATCGAGCTTTCCCAAACGGTGCAGCTGTAACAAAGCGCTTGACTGAACATTTAAAATACTACGTCGAAGAAATCAGAATATTGATCCATACATAAGGTGTACCGGATTATAAGGCGCACTGTCGGCTTTTGAGAAAATTGAATGCTTTTAGGTGCGCCTTACAGTGCGGAAAATACGGTCTTCCTAACCCACTCGCTGGATAGCTGTGGATTTTGAGCAGATTGGGTAATCCCAAATTGGGTTACTATTTCCTCCACCCAGTGCACTCCATATAAGTAACCTAGCATTGGCTCTGTCCCTTTTGGACCCGGCGCTGGGCTAGCTATTTCACCAACTCTGGATTACTCTTAACAATCGGCTGAAGAGTGCGGAAATGTTGTCCCAAGACGTGTAAACTGCATGAAGTTGTGATTCCACCCCCGTATTCTGGGGAGCATTTGGACACCAAGTCCCATGTGAGGGACTCCAGCTGCAGTCCTGATCAGGTTAAGCGCTCTAGAAAATGGATGGATGGACCTTGTCAGAGTCAAGGTGAAGGTGACACACTTTCCCACAGCTGAATGCGAGACCAGCCTCGTGGTGTCAAATGAAAATAGATTTTTCATTGTTCCCCCGGCCCACCCGCAATTAAATATGTCATCCTTAAAACAAAGCAATGTCCTTTTGCCGATATGCCTCGGTGACCCCTCGAAGAGACGCGCTCACACACTTTGGAGAATGTGAGACTCCAATCAGGCTGAATGGCTAGCCGACCTGTGTCGACAGGAAGGGAGAGTTTCCTGAAAGGTCATGCTTGTTCCAGCCAGACCAAACACTGCCTAATTGCTTTGTTGTTTGTCGGGCCGGGCCTGTTTTTGTGTCGCATTTTTTCCTTTGTTTAGCATTCCCAAGAATATTACCTGCACCAGTGGCCAAAAAGGTGGGGAGGCTCGAGGAGGGAAGTC